GTGTGTGTGTGTGTAGGTGTTTATTTGTTTCTGATTCTCTACAAAGGAGCGTGACTACGGGTTCATTTATATTAAATCAGGGCGTTCTACTATTGTGTATTTTGCACAGACCACCGATGCCCACGGCCCTGTTTTGGAATCTATAACTGCACCAGAAAAAAGGACTGTACCAACACAACGGGTGGTTAAACCGGGTCAGACTGTTTCTTTACCGCCAGTTGCCCTGCGAGCAACCGAGATTAAACAGGTGCGTTATCAAATGTACAATGTTCGTTCTATTGTGGAGTGTCCAATTGAATGGGGGAGGCTGGTGGTCTGAATGAATCACAACGGATGGGTGGGTGGGTACAGAGGAACTCCTGTGAGCGAGTGTAGATGAGCTACTACTGCAAGCAGGCACAGATAAACTTAGCGTGTGCATGTGTATCTATAGACAAAGTACCACGGGTGTTATATATATATATATATATGTATGTATATGTCTGAATGAATCGCAACGGGTGGGTGGTGGAGTGGGTACAGATGAACTCCTGTGAGTGAGTGTAGATGAGCTACTACTGCAAGCAGGCGCAGATAAACTTGGTGCGTGCATGTGTATCTATATGTATAGACGAAGTACCACGGGTGTGATTGTTTAGGATTGGTTGTAGTCGATAAATGGAGATAGTACCAGGCCTAGGTATGGGTAGGGCGAGGTGACAGAGTAGGTGTAGGTAGGTGTAAGTTGGTAGTACAAAGTTGAAGCTTTAAACACTCTTCGACAATAGAGCACTGTTCACTGCGCAGGAAACCAAGGTTCAAACCCTATACCCTATACCCCAAACCCTAGATCCCAGGCATTGTATGCCTACGTTCACTATCGGCCGACCACAACAGATTTGTTCTCCTGTTTCCCGCACACAGCTACGGCGTTTGTATGGCAGTGGGCTGCATGTAGAAACACTTGACCTCCCCACCGACAGAGCTGAACTAGCAGTATCAACGCAACGTGCACTCGAAGTGACATCAGAAGGTACACCAGGCGCTGCCCCTGGACAAGAGCAGAAAGGACCGGCGGATACCAATGGGGATATTAGTGCAGTGAAGACAGGTGTGTTGTTGGCACGTGTATAGGCGTGTCTAAAGCCCCTAATGTAATGTACGCATGGGATCTTCACTGCATCAGAGAAAGGCGGGGTTATGATATGACCCGTGTGTTTGTGGTCTGGAGATCATATGAGTATCTACGGCTGAACGGATTCCAAAAGCGTTTGCCATGCGCCAAGTACCACACAATGTCCAACACTTATATACAAGATAAGGAGGGTATATCTCTGTCACCACGGTGTCTTCCATTGGAAGATATTACGAGATGAATACTTCCTCAAAGGTTTAGCGTCCTAAGCCTCACATCCCCATTCTCGGTCCTATTTGTACTCGCGCTTACTGACACGTGACATCTGCGTTGCAACAGACAAAGTGGCTTCTAATCCCACAGTCTCCCAACCAAAGACCGATGTGCTGGTTGTTGATTTCGTGCCCACCGATCCTGATTGGATATTCGATGCCATGCGATTGTTTAAAGTGCAGGTGGGTGTGTAGCGCATAACCCCTAAACACTAAAACCTTAAAACCCTAAAACCTGAGACATGCGGTTGATCAAAGTACAGATGTGAGCATAGAGCATAACCCCTAAACCCTAAAACCCTGAACCCTAAACCTCTAACCCCTAAGCGTGTGTATATTTGTATGTGTAACATGGATGTATTGATACGTAAACACATTCTCATGGCGTGGGTGCTGCCAGCAAGCACATCCAAACTCGCGGCAAGGGCTTGAATGCCGGTAGATAGTGCCATTCTTCTATCGGTTCTGATCCTTTGCGGTCGTATTTGCATGCGTCGAGTACTACTGCGTATGCGGCCCATCAGGATTTTAGGGTTTTAGGCTGAAACCTTTGGTATGATAATTTACTTGCAATGACTACTGCCCCAATTAACAAAGGCACGCATGTACGCCGGTGTAGG